ATTGTTATTTGTAATGTGTTCTCTACACTTATTTTTGTGCGCAGGCACTCTATGGTATGTTGTCCTACAATTGAGCTTATGCCCCTTTTGGGGCTTTGAAATAGACAATGCTTATGCACCAACTGTATTTGCATACCCAGAGTGCTCTATGAGGCGCGCTACTACTGCTAAGCTATTTTGTGTTTTTATTCTCTTTTTGCCGTTAGTTGTCTCGCAGCGCGAGACTCGCAGATTCAATGCTCCAGGGGAAAACGAGGCCTCGCGCCGCCGTACTTGTGTGGAATCGTTCCCTCGTCCAGTTTTAGTTATCGTGTTGTTGTGTTCATATTTTCCCTTCTATTCGTATTTTGGATAGTATGGTCACTTCGCTTTCATCGTACGCAGTGTTTCTACGTTTCGGCTCTCTTGGAAAGTGGCGTTTGGAAGGGAGTTTTCCTGCTTCTTTGCATGCAGCTTGTCTCACCAGACAAGCACGGAACACTAGGGCGCGTGTTGTGAAATGCAGCGGACGATGTATTGACTAGGCTACACTGACCCCCTTTTACCCACTTGTATTCACTAAGCTCTCGAAAGACTTGACTAGTTGGTTCGTCTGTTCTTGATATTTGTTTTGTTGCACACCACAGTGAGCTTGATACAATCAAGCGCGAAGTTGTTTACACCGGCGCTAAGTGCTATGTGCAACCAGCTGTGGATGAGCGGATTGCCAAGAGGGTGCAGCGAAGCGCATTATGGCTGTCCCTCTTCCTTCTTTTCGGGAGCTTAAAGGGTGCTGGGGAAGAGAATTATCGAGTTCTTCTCGATAAGAAATCGATAATTTTTCACATAGTTTGCACTAACATAGATTTTAGTGTCTGTAGGACGGAGAACTTGGAGGAAGCGTTGCACCTGTAAACTCAAGGCTGTTACACCCTATGTCATGAAAGGTTTCTCTAATCCCCACAGGTGTTCAGCAGCAAGTGACACTTATAGCCTTGACCCCTCTTCTGGAAAGATATCTAAAAAACCCCTGCTGCAGCACTCATACTTATTGAATCATAAAGGCACCAAGTTTCGATTTTCCTGAAGGCGCAGCATCTACAGGGTATATAGCAAAGTATTTTTTGGGTGGATTCCTCGTTCTGCAGTTTTTCGTGTTGCATCCCTTCCTCCTACCTTTAGAGAGTTCTCTGCAAACATCCCAAAGTAGCAAATGTATCTACAGGGCGCTTACTTGCCTAGCTGATGAGCTACAACAACTTCTTATAGAGGAGCGTATGCTGAAGAGGGTAGCGAGACTCCTTTCCCCACGTTTTTTAGTCTTAGGTGTGCAGAGCCATTAGCAGCATGTTTGTTACAATGTAGTCTGCGAGCGCGCGGCATGGGCTTGCTCTGACTGTAGCCCTTCTTCTCACGTTACATTCCTGATGTTCTATGGTGTAGAGTTCGTGCTAATAAGGAAGAGTGGCAGCGGTTTTGGTGTATGGACGTTTGAATACGCAGCTCCTGCGTCCGACCGGTAGGCTAACTCACGGTCGACGCACGACTGCGTTGGATTAACCTCTGTAAGACACGGCAAAGTACAGTGTTTTGATTGTTCATGAGTTATTTCGTGGCTTTCGCCCGATCTGTTGCCTGCTCGATGACCAGCCACGCCGAGCAGTTGTACTGGCAGCTGGGGGCGCGTGGACTGAGCTCCTTTGGTCGCTGTTCGCTGAGCTCTGTTTCTCAATAAAACAAAATCATCAAACAGCGTTTCCTGGAAAAAAGCTTTTGTGTAACATGCTGCGAGATCGGCCCTCAGACCATTGAATTTTCCAGACACTTCACGGGGTCCGCGCGACTTTTCATAGGTCGTTGCTTCCTACGGTGTCTGCCGATGCGCACGTAAAAAGAAACGCCGATACTGCTGCCCCTGTGCTTTTCCCTCAAATTCCAAATGTTGTGTTGAGGCAAAGTCGGTGATGTGTGGTGCAGAACGCAGAGATAGGTTTGCCTCTAACCTGATTGCGAATACCCGAAAGGCTGCATCTCCAAGATGAGCTCCCTGAGAGATGCATTCAAAGAGGGTATGAATTCTACTGGTATTTCCGCGTTATTTGGGCTTCTTTGACTGAGAAAGGGCTTTTGAGCCCTGTACTTGTTGGTTCTAGCAGCAAGCAGGCTTGTCGTGATTCAACGAGCGGGGTTTAGAGGGCGACGCGAGCAGTGTTGAGGCGTGCTGTGGCGCAGGGGAAATTCCCCAAGAGCTGTGTACACATTGCGTGAAAAACAACGAAGGACTGACGGGCGAATGGACTATTATTGCAGACCATCGGTGAGGCGCGTTCAGACCATTGGTCCGAAGCTTCGAAACTCCAGAGCCGTCAAACCCTTTAGCTGAAGCTGCACTCCCTTCGGCTTCAAAGCTTGCTCGTTAGCCTGTGTTAGTGTGACACTGCATCGCTGAATTTGGCCTTTTTCCCCGCTTCCCCCTGTGTACCCGCGTGACCCCCCGAAAAATGCCGCTCTCTCCGTGAGATCCAAACCTCGTAGCAGGCGAATTCTTGGGGAAGAACCGAGGCTGCGACATGCACAGCCAGACGCCTGGCAGGGAGTGCTGACTCGTGCGTGTGTGTGAGGAGAGCTCTCTTGTGGGCCTGCCAGATTTCTTGCAAGCCAGTCAGTTTGTGCTTTGAAGTGGCTGTGTGTGTGTGTGTGGCTGCGTGTGTGTGTGTGTGTGTCTCTAACGGAACGGCTTCTGTACTACCCTTACACACACTTCGTGCCGCGCTTCTCTGCATGCACTTCTTCTGCGTTCTGTCTGCCTCCTCCTCAGTTCTGACGGACTGCGCGAAATCACAGAGTTCTTTGGGTTGGACCCCCGAGACAGAACGGCATGGGAATTTTCCCTGCACCTGAACGCTCCTCGCCTTCGTTTAGACTATATCAAGAAGGGGGGACGTAGCACTCAAAAGTCTGCGTCCAATGTTGGTAGTAGCGAAGGAGGCGGGCCCCTTTTAAAGGTCACTTGCCATGGAGCTCTTCATGCGGACTGCCCCAGAGCAATTCTCTTTGACGGCATCGAGAAAAAAGGGTATCCTGTGCGTTTAAATTTTCCCGTCGTCATCCTTGTGGCCGTATTCTGAGAGGCTGGAGTCTGCACGGCTCAACGGACGCTGGAAGCTAACACCTCTTCAGTCCCCTTCCCGCAAAAAGGGGTCCCCTCCATGAGCCATGCACAGCCTTTGCTGTCTCCTCCGTGAATTCCGTGCAGATGGAAGAACTAGTGCCTCATGCCCCTCTGCGTCACATGGCGTCTGGCTGCGAAGACGGAACCTTCCTGGCTGCAGAGATCGACGGCATTCTCTTTGTTAAATACGAAATGCGAAGGGGTCTGTGATATTCATCCCTAGGCCCAGCAGCAGTGAAAATAGCAGGGGGCGGAAGACACATCGCCTTGCGTGGCGAGAGGGGGAGGGGGTGGGGTGGCATGCGTAGATGCGTAGTGTGCAAAAATGTGTATGTCTGGATGCGGGAAGCACCTGCCTTCGACATTCGGCAAATACACGAGGCAGCGAACGTTTTAGGGGAAGGCGTAGTTGGAAGCTTCTGAGGTCGAGTGGTGTGGATGCAGCGGACGGGCTGTCTGTCACGTTTTCTTCGGTGTTTCTAAGCCGAAATGCCGTGTGTCTAGGGGGAAGGAGGAGGTTTGTCGGCTGGCGCCTCCCCAGTGCATTGCGGGGATGAAACTCTGCTGCTCGAAGCTCCTAAGAAGGCTTGTGCGGTTGGCTGCCTTGCGATCAGGAACGTTCTACATCACGCGCATCTTGTTGGACAGAGATCCCTCTAGCAAAGAGAGGGGGCCTATCACGCTGGCTCAGGTAGGCGAGGCTTTCTTTCGTCTAGGCGCATTAGATTCGTTGGAGTGCCGCAAGCGCGAGCTGCAAGAGCAGCAGCAGTTTGTGCCGACGAGGGCGCCTAGGAGGCGATTGTGAGCAACTGCGCTGCTTGTTCGCGGTGTATATGTGCAGTACTGTGTGATCACGAAGGATGGGGAGAAGCACGTGGCTCATCGGTACCACAAGCGCGTCGAGGGCTAACCACCTCTTCTTCCTATCCAGATCCGTCTTCTCTCTGCCTCTTACAGACGAGGTCACACCCCTCGAGGCTACACAGACAGATACCAGAAAGAGAGAGAGAGTAGAGAGAGCAAATTGTGAGAGAGAGAGAGAGAAAGAGAAGGGTCTGGTGCAGGCAGGGGAGCGCCTCAAGTGCGGCGTGAAGCACACACACTAAATGCCTTTCTGCTCCGCGCATGTCTGCATGCAAAGGGAGGCGAATGGGCAGCTCTGCGACACACCGAGACACCCCTATCAGGATCCAAAATCCCTGTTATCCCTGCCTTTTTGAAAGGTGCCTTGGTAGGTCAACTCGTCGCGAGGCGGCAAGACGCGTGTTCTTCCGCATCCGCTGGCCTTTTGAGCGGCTTGCCGTTTCGCAATGTTTTAACATGCCCCCGTGTGCAGTGCCTACCCTTAAAGCCACTCTGTGCTATGCAAGAAGAGACAGCTTCGCGTATCAGCCTAGCTAGTTCGCCGCTTTGCACGCTACTGCTCCCTATCTATGGATCTACCACAGAGGAGGACAGACACACTCACACATATACATACATACACCCCAAATATACTGAAAAACAGAGGAGGTTCAAACCCAAAGCTCAATACTTCCACTATTATTGCAAACAGCTGCAGTCAGGTCAGCAAGGCGGCGAGGTTTCCTCTAACTGCAAAACACTCTGCGTCACCCTTTAGGGGGTCCCGTGGATATCCTCAGCGTACAGCCACAGTACGTAGATGTCGATAGCGAGAAGTGCATATGTATGTTTACATGCACTGTGTATATATGTGTGCACGGAATTGCATGCATAGGGATCCAGAGAGAGAAGGAGTGCCTTAAACATCGTTCATGAACGTACGTCCATGAACGCAGCAGGATTGCTCCACAATGAGGCCTCTGTTTCCGTACAGACGTCACAGCATGTATATACGTACATCAATAGATCTACGCGTTGGCGCTAGCACTGATGCATGCATATAGCCGTGTACATACATACACATGCAGATATACAGTGTGTGAGGGACAGGCACGAGAGTGTAGAAAGGCGGGGAGACCTGCTAGAGGTAGATTTGGGGGGATATAGAGGGAGGGAGGGGTAAGGGGGCATCGCACAAATATACTGCTTGCTGTGCCTAAGTAATAATAAGGGATTCCTGGAGTCTGCGGCCACTGATGGCTACCCCAATAGGCATTACGTAATAATACAGAGGCGTGCAAAGCCCCAAGTTCTATATATATATATATGTATATATATATAGAAACGTGAACAGACACGGAACCGCGGCGTGGGGCATACATGTGTATACATACGTATGCATGTACATATACATGTACAGGTATATATATAGACAGTGTATGCATGCGGTTAGTGGGTTACAAAAGATCTAGGTCAGGCTCTGTAGGTCCCCTTCCAGATACATAACCGCGCATGCATGCACAGCACGGCTCATCTTGCTGAGCCCCCAATCAACCCAGTGCCTTGAAAGAGCAGGAACTGCAGGCTGAGGTGCGCAGGCACTGCAGCCACACATGCGATCGGGGATCGAAGAAATGAGGCTTTGTTTTTTAGGGGGCCCCCAGGGGCCCCTCCAAATGAGGGAGGCCCCAGGCTCTCTCGCGCGTCTCACCGCACCCTCTGTACAGACGAGGGCATCATCGCGGCGAGCTGAGACTGGACCGCATTCCCTCTGCTTTGCTGCTGGTGCTTCTGCTGCGTATGCATCCAGTGCTGCTGCTGTTGTTGCTGCTGCTGCTCTTGCTGCTGCGGATGGCTGTCTAGTGGCTCCGTAAGAACACGAAGGACGCCTTCCACGATTTGATCGCCGTCTGTCAGTGTCGGCTCCGGGAACCCCTGAAAGGGGCCGCTGCGTATTTCGTTCACCTATTGAATTCCACAATATACCCCACACAAAGAGACAGATATCTACATACGTATATATATATATATATATATATATATATATATATATATATATATATATATATAGCTATAGTTCACCTATTGAATTGCACAATATACCCCACACAAAGAGACAGATATCTACATAATATATATATATATATACATCCATAGTTCACCTATTGAATTGCACAATATACCCCACACAAAGAGAGATGTCTACACACGTATCTATATATATACATCTATACTTCACCTATTGAATTGCACAATATACCCCACACAAAGAGACAGATATCCACACATGTATCTATATATATACATCTATAGTTCACCTATTGAATTGCAGAATATACCCCACACAAAGAGACAGATATCTACACACCTATCTATATATACATCTATAGTTCACCTATTGAATTGCACAATATACCCCACACAAAGAGACAGATATCTACACACCTATCTATATATACATCTACAGTTCACCTATTGAAGTGTACAATAGACCCCACACAAAGAGACAGATATCTACGCATATATATATATATATATATGTATATATATGTGATGTCTACGAAAGTAGATGTCTATATGAAAATCGGTAGGTGGAGGGGCGTGAGCAAATTGGCAGTGGGAATAAAGCAGGGGAGGTACGTGAGGCGAGACAGAGGAGCTCGAGCGCTGTGGTGGGTAGAGTGGAGGTTGAGAGACTGAGGGGGGAAAGGCAAGAGGAGGACAGACACGAGGGCAGAAGAAGCAGGCAAGAGGCGCATGTCTGTGAGGGCATGTTTGCGTTTTCGCGGAGAGGCATCCGCTTCGCACCTGAAAGTCTGATATGCCAAGTTCTTTTAGGGTAGACTCGAGACAGCCGGCAAGACACCACGCTCTGAGGAGAGCTGTTCTCTTGGGCGAGATGTTGGCGAGCGCATCGAGAACGGCAGTCTTGTGTCTGTTGAGGTGAGGCTGCTGCTCTTGACACGCTCTTTCGTAGGCTGCTCCGAACCACTTGACCTTCACAAAAGCCGCGCAAACGCAGAACCAGCGCATGCAGCGATCTTGAGGGCAGAGGCGTTCGCTGTATCGCCACAGCAGCAGGTAGGCGGGTTTGCTGGAGACGATCGTCTCCGAGGCTGGGCAGCCTGCGCAGCAGCACAAGTGCGCCGCTGCAGGCCCCTTTGCGCCTGCTGCTGCGCTGCTGCCGCTGCCGCTGCCGCTGCTGGCGGCAGCAGCGGCGGCGGCGAGGGGAGCTCCGGGGAGAGCCGATCCCCCTGCGCACGCCTTGCCGCCTGGGGAGTTGCGGCTCGTCGTCGCACTGCTGCTGCGAGTAGTCGCCGTGGACGCTGTGGAGGCGCTGCTGCTGCTGTTGCTGCTGCTGCTGCTCCTGCTGCTGCTGCAGCTGCAGCAGCTGCTGCTGCCCTTGTGCCGCAAGGTTACCGTGTGTCTGGGCAGCAGCAGACGGTACTCCGCGTTAGGAGGCGCTCTCGTGAGCAGAAAGGGAACGGTGAAGCGGTAGGTGCCCTCGTCTTCGCGCAGAAAGTTGACTGCGTAGACACCCCGGTGACATCCCCGCAACAAGCCGTGTCGTCTGCAGATTCGCCCGTTGCGACCAAGCCACTCCGTCGGAAACATGACTGCCTCCGTCCACGAGCCGCTCTGACAGGCTCCGCCGCCCCCCAAGGGGGGGAAGGGGGGCCCCCCCGCGGGGGCCCCCCCGCAGGCGTTCTCGGAGCGCACTCCGCAGGGGGCCCCCCCCTCGACCTGCGGCAGATCCCCCGAGAGGGGCCCCTCCGGCAAGTACTTCCGGATTCCGCAGTGCTCGACGACTTCCAGTGGCTTCAGCCAGAATTCCTCGCCCGCCTGCACTTCGCCAGCTGCTGTCGCGCCTCCGTCTCCACCAGCTCCTCCACCTGCAGTGCGTGCGCCAGCATCGGTGGGATCGGCTGCTGCAGAAGCGCCTTGCTGCAGCTGCTGCTGCTGCTGCTGCTGCTGCTGACGACGCGCTCTCTTGGTGTGGCGCGTCAAGCTTCCGTCTGCTGCGGGAGGAATGCTAGCGGCGCGAATCGTCTGGTTGCCAGCACATTCACCGCCTCTTGTCTCGCCCTCCTCCTCTCCCGCAGCCAAGACTTGAGGAGCAACAAAGCCTTTTCGCGTCGAAGCAACCCCCCTGCACCTCCTCGCCCTCGCACTGCCAGCAGCAGCAGCCGCTGCTCCCCCTCCTCCCCTGCGCGCGCCTCTCCGGAAGCCTCCCCTGCTCCTTGTCGCCGTCGACGCGAGCCGCGGAAGCGGGGGGGCCCCCCCGGAGGCGCAAGCCTCCAGGGGCCCCCCCCCCCTTCCGCGTCCGCTAAGGGGCATGAGGGGGGCCCCCCCCCCAAGGGACTGACGGCACTCCCGCCCTTGTCTGCTGCATCCAGACCGCCTACGCAGAAAGCAGCAGCAGCGGCAGCACTCATCACCACGGCGCGAACGTCGACAGCAGCAGCGGCAGCGGCAGCAGCAGCAGCAGCAGCTGCTGCTGCAGTCGGCGGCGGCGACGCCGCAGCCGCTGCTGCCCTCGTGCAGTGCATGCGATCATGAGGCAGAAGCGGACTGGCTGCCTTCGAGTCTTGCGTCATGAGCGAAGTGAGGGGGGCCCCCCCGGGGCCCCCCGAGTTCGAGAAGGAAGCAGCCGCTTGCTGCGGCAAAGGGTACTCCCCGGGAGCCTCCTCGGGAGACTGGAGAGGCGTTCGAGGGTGCTGCAGCGACATGGCTGCGTAAACAGCGCCGCAAGGCTTCTGCTGTTGGTGTCGCTGCTGCTGCAGCAGCAGCAGCGGATCGCAGCTCTCCGAACGACCTCTCTTGCACTCAGAGAAGCGCAGCAGAGGACCCCTAAACCCCCCCCCAAAGGCTACTGCGCCGACAGCAGGCGAACAGGGGGAGCCGAGGGAAGGGAATGCGGAGAGAGAAGGGAGATGCGGAGGGGAGGGAGAAGACGAAGAGGCTAAGGGACCCTCGGCGGCGGCTGCTGCTGCAACGGCTGCTGCTGCAACGGCTGCTGCTCCTGCTCCCGCTGCGTCGGCAGCCAACACAGATCTCGCGCAGAGAGGAGGGGCCCCTGGCAACTGCTGCATGCAGGAGAGACACGTGGCACCCGATGCCAAGCCCACAGACTCGGGAGTAACACCCCGCGTCATTCCCCCTCTCTAGGCTGCAAGGATGCTGCTGTTGCAAGGATGCTGTTGTTGCAAGGATGCTGCTGTTGCAAGGATGCTGTTGTTGCAAGGATGCTGCTGCAAAAGGCTGCTGTTGAAAGGGCGCTGCTGTTGCAAAAGGCTGCTGTTGCAAGGATGCTGTTAGAAGGATGCTGTTGCAAGGGCGCTGCTGTTGCAAGGCTGCTGTTGCAAGGATGCTGCTGTTGCAAAAGGCTGCTGTCGCAAGGCTGCTGTTGCAAGGATGCTGTTGCAAGGATGCTGCTGTTGCAAGGATGCTGCTGTTGCAAGGATGCTGCTGTTGCAAAAGGCTGCTGTCGCAAGGATGCTGTTGCAAGGATGCTGTTGCAAGGATGCTGCTGTTGCAAAAGGCTGCTGTTGCAAAAGGCTGCTGTTGCAAGGATGCTGCTGTTGCAAAAGGCTGCTGTCGCAAGGCTGCTGTTGCAAGGATGCTGTTGCAAGGATGCTGTTGCAAAGATGCTGTCGCAAGGATGCTGTTGCAAGGATGCTGTTGCAAGGCTGTAAGGCCGCTGTTGCAAGGCTGCTGCTTCGAGGCTGCAAGGCTTTAAGGCTGGAAGGCTGGAAGGCTGCTGTCACGACACCTCTGCTAGGGTGTCTACTGGTGTGCGACTGTGAAGGAAAAAAGGCCCTTGGAGGAATGCCTAACGGGAAAGGCGTTGTTTCCCCCGCTTCCACTCCCTGCGAGGTGTTGGACTGCAAGTTGCAAACGAAGCAGCTGAGGTGTGGCTGAGGTGTAGCGTGTGCTTGTTGAGATTGGATGAACCCGCAAAGACTCGCGTAATACTGCGGCAGTCAGTCGCTGAAGCAGACAAAGCCTTGTTGCGCCGACGAGCTCTGTCTCTGCCGCTTCCGTCGGAGCAAAAAACGCAACTGGCGGTTGCTGCTGCAGTTGCTGCTGCAGTTGCTGCTGCAGCTGCTGCTGCAGCAGCACAGCGCACAAGCGCCAGCGCCGCTGCAGGGAGGCTGCGGGAAGCCAGCAGGCCCCAAGGAGGAGAAGAGACGAAGAAGGACCTCTCAAGATACGAGCAGGAGAGCTGTCGCGGCAGAAATGATGAAGGAAGGAGGCCTTTCCGGAATACTCGGCGGCAGCAGCAGCAGCAGGCGCAGGCACAGGCCTAGAAAGCTGCAGTGCTGCGCTGCGCGCAGATTTCGGGAAGAAGGTTTTGGCTTTGGTGCTGCGAAGAAAGGGCTATTGTTACACACGCAGCGAGAGGGCGACCCTACGGAATATGGGGGGAGGCGTGCAGTGTATGAAGAGCACCACACGCGGCAGCAGCTGCTGCTGTACTCGTACAGTGGCCAAAAGCCCCGTATTTCTTATTTGCGTAAGGCATTTGTCGATCATCTATCTCGAAAAGGAAGTCAGAGGCGCATATACTCTCGAATTAAGGTAATGGGTTACGCCGCTCAGGATTTATGTGGACCTGGTACTGCTGCTGTTGCGGCAGCGGTTGCTGCGAGCTAGTCTTCTCTCCAAGGAAGGTGCAATGCTGCTTGATTTGGGGTGTATCAATGCTTGGAGGTTCGATACAAGTGACTAAGTATTTGCGGCATTTGCTGAATAAAACTGCAAAACGCAGCAAACTGCGCATAGACAGCCTCCCGTTTGCAGTTCCTTCTCCCTTGTCTTCTGCTGCTGGCGCTGCTGCGAGGGCTTCTTCCTCTGAATACTGGCATCTGAGAAGCAGTGCATCAAAAGTTAGAAAGCCAAACAAAGAGACAGCACGTGGTATATTCCTTGTAGCAACCTTACAACTTCTGATCTCCGGAAGTGCTACGAGCACTGCTCTAATAGCGGGACTGACGGTTGCTCTGTAGGCCGTTGATAATTTTCCTCTTTCGAGGCTGCTGAAACCAGCTAGCTCAACGGGGTACGCATCGCTCCGAATTAAAGTAGTCGACGCATTTGGAATTTAGGGTCTAGCGCTGGCGGCATCCCCCTTGCGTGCCTCTCCAGTCTATCTGTTTTGCGGATACAGCGCAAGTTCACCCGTAGAAATACTCAGAGAACGTGGGTTAGCTTAGCAGCCACATGATGCTCTCGCCGTCTTGCCTCTGTTGTTGCGGCTGCTAGCCGACGCGGCTTGCTCGGCACTCGCGGCACTGTGCTGGAGAGTGCTGATGAGGGCCTCCGGAGTCTGCCAAAAGCGACTCTTAGGCACTTTCTACTAGTGTAGGTCCTTTAACGTGGAATTGGCTTTTTGGTTGGGCCGTTCGCATGCGCAATTCGCTTTAGAGCACGGAATGCGAAGGCAGTACTGCAAGAACGAGCACTGCGTGTGTGACGCTCCCTCCACCCAACCTCTCTTACGGATTCACTCGGATGCAGACTTGATACAAACTTCAGAGAAAGCCAGCAAGTGCTTTACGCAGAGTCTTACAGCCCTTCCTTACCCACACACCCCACAATCCCCGATATGAAGAAAGGGGGACAGCGAGGGAAGGGCTTCTCCTTCCAATAGGCATACCCCTTCAAAGCACCCGTTTTTCTTCGTTTGGGGGTTACAAAGCAAGATACATCCCCAACCGGCCGACGAGCTTCTGAGTACTTCCTCATCCCTAATGCCGTCATTTTTCCCTGGTTGGCAGTACCTCATCGATGCATCCATAAGCATTTATCGCCTGACGAATCATGCTTTCCTGCGGCTGTGGAGGCACTGTGCTTTCACCAGCTCACATGCCGGCCCCTGCTGCCCAAGCAGCACCCTCTAAGCACGCCGAGCATTCACAGCTAGATGGCCAGAGTGTCTGGCGCAAATGCAAGCAGCAGTGCGTCTTTTTGTGTCGAGCTAACAATGCTGTGGAATAAATAAGTTATTCGAACAGACAAATCATTTAGTCAACTCCTTACTGATTCCCACTGTATCATGACTAGTATGGTAGAACATGTTTAGTGTAGCTCAGCCGGCTACCCCGTAGCAGTTTCTCTCCATTCAAGACGAGAAGATTCAAATGAGGGGGAGAAGAAAAGCCGAGATTTCCGTTTAAAAGCACTCGGTCACTTTCTTATGAGTGTGCATTAAATCTGACTACAAGTGTCCCTATATGCAGACCTAAGATACAGCGTTACAGTGGGTAGTACCATGTTGTTCAATGCTGCTGTTCTCCACGCATCCACTCATTGTGGGTGCAGTGGAACTCCAGGATTCCCTGCAAGGGCTATTTGGTTGCAATAAGGAATTTGGTAGCTAAACACCACAATAGTAATCGGGTACCCTCTGGCGATGGAATGAGACAGTGGCAAGACGCTTCTTAGGGCAGCAGAGGCAGGCATCTAAGCTTATGTAAGTGCAGTGTTTCCACCGCCGTAGGAAGGCACGCCTTGTATGCTGATACAGAATGCGAAGGGATGCTTCGACGAGGCATTGCCAACTAGAAAAGTATGACGGCCTTAGGGATGAGGCAGTACTCGAAAATTCGATTGTCGGCTGAAGATACACCC